GCAGCTTTCATGAATTTTTTAAGAACAAATCTGCCAGAATAGAAACAAAAAAAAAACACCCTGATATGGGAGGCAGATATACCCCTATTTGGCAGACCCCGATATGGTTATATAAAAAATTGGGCAGATCTGGCTATATAGGGCGTATATAAACTGATGTGCTTGATATGGCCAGATCTGCCCAATTTTTTATATATCCATATTTGTTTTTTTTTATGTAAGTCCAGATCTGCCATTTTCGTAAGGGGCTGCTTCATGACGAAAAAGTGACGCTGTAGCCAGGATACCGGTAAAGCCCCTTCATGTTTCAAAAGTAGCGCAAGGTTCGTCGATGCACGAGGCAAGTGCAACGTGCAGCCCTTGGGTAGATCATGGCGGCACAGCGCAGCACTGAGCTAGATTTCAGACGCCATGAATTTCCCAGAAGTGGCGCGCGGCACGTGCCTCGAGCATTTGTACAACAATGAATGGCGCCACTTTCCCAGGATAGAGGGGCTTTACCAGGCGCGGGGTACTGGTGCCACCAACGTCATGAACAAGTGGCATACTACCGATTTTCTGTTCAGCACACCTTCACACCAGACGGCAGTTTTCTTTTCTTGCTTTTAGTCATGCATTTGGGTGAAATGCTTGACGTCTTCCAATTCACTGGATAACAATATAATTTAAAAAAAAATGTTATTATAATGAACGCTAGAGGTTCAGCTGGGCTTTTGCAACCAAAGTGCTGGATATCCGGATTTATCCAAACAACCCCATCGTTTGATCAAACCGCGAACGCTTTTATTGGATGCATGCGACGCGTCACCATTTTTGGCGCATTGCGCATCCCGCATCTGGGCGCGCACTCTCTTATTAGTCTGCTGTGGCTGCCGGTGACGTGCCGCCGTTTGCGAGCACGCTCCCATTGGTCTACTGTAGATGCCGGCGTCACGCTGCCGCGACAAACTAGATTGGTGGCGACGCTCCGCCATTTTCGGTTTAAATACGTCCCAGCATGCACCACCTTGGCGGTACTTGTTTATAAACCCTAGTTCATCTAGCGCTTTAGTTACAAATAGACTTATCTCAATAATGCCTGATTGACATTGATGATTGAACCGCGTTCGCGTTTCACGCGCATTTGGATGATGAAAACGAACGGATCCGCATAGCGGTTGCGATTCGAACACCAGTCTGAATGCAGCATAATCGTTCCACGCATGCGTCACGCCGCCATAACTGTATAGTTCATATGAGGCATGCTCCAGTGCGCGAAACAGTTCGTGCCCACCTTGTTTTCTTCACGCACACACCTTCAGCGGGGTTGTCGCGCGTGCAGAAAGACTACAGATCCTACGATGCATAGCGGCAGCGGTGGCGTGATGAAACTGGCTGTGAGATCGGTCTTTTTTGAAGCATAGAGCAACCAGTCGAAAGTTGACTTCCGGCAATGCATTTTTCGATGCGCTTGATTATTATAGCAAATATTACAAAAAACTATAACGTAGTAAATAGTTCAGAACATTTCTCAATTACGCAAATGAAAATATTGGAAAGCTGCAGCATTTTTCTGTCAAATTCGTGTCATTAAACATAGGCATAAAACAGCCTCATATATTGATTTATGTGCACTGTCGGGCACTATTAGTGCCAGCAGGGCGTCGGCGCTTTTTTCTACGGGGATATGCGTACCAAGCGAACGAAAGTCACTTGGAAAATCAAGAGAGACGGCAAGAACCACGCAGTAACACTGGACCAGTAACTCCCTGTGCAGATAGACGACCAGAATAAAGTGAAGAACAAGACAGAACATTGCAATATTGCATCAGCTTCCTAGCACCGCATCTAATCCTGAGGAAGTCGTACTCTTGGATCATGATGATCGGCAGTTGCGTTTGCTCTGAACAAGACCCGAAATGGCGGCGCCCAAAACAATTTTGGGGAACGGAGTGCCGATACTTAAAAGCTCATTTAGTGACTCTAGGCATAAAGTGAACTCGGGTGTATTCTTTTCCTCTTCGTCTTCATTGTTTATTGATTTCAAGCATATGGAATAATGAACAGATTATATTACGTTACGCTTGTGTAATTATTTGTCTTAGATTTATTAGCCTGGCACAGTAGTTAAACCATTCAGTTATCGATAGTAAATCTTCCAATATATTTTTTTAAATGTGAGGGTAAAAAGACACGGAGATTGATGATGATACAGACGCCAACGCCGCCCTCGGAAATTTTTTGAACATTAGAAATGAGCAGTTTGTCTGCCATCCGCCAGGTAGCGCAAAAAAAACACCCAAACAGTTTTTAATTGTTTTTAAAATTAACTAAGCTCTACACCTAGTAAGAAACCAAAGCAAGATCATTGTGAAAATTTAATACGTCGCAATGTATAATTAATTCAAACAATAAATATTATTAGATGCTAATAAATCTGTTTGATTTGCAAAAAAGATATGCGTCAAAACAGGTAAGTTTGAAACGCTCCTGGAGCATTATAACTTTGAAAATGAAAAAAAGCCATCGTCCACCTCTTGGGCAACCATTGTAGCTCTAAATGTTACAAAATACTTTATCATAGTTTAATTACTTCCTCAGCGGCATTTGAAGTACCATGACTCGAAGCATAAAAAAGTGTTACGTTTAATATAATATATCTAAGCAAAAAATGTTTACACAACATTAAATTTTTTTCTGCGTATAGCCCCTGAGCAGATTACTAGGTGGCACCACTGTCATACGATCGTCAGCGCCTCTGGCGGCAATAATACCAACCGATGGGAAGTCGCGGCGGGCGGACATCCGGGAGTGCACGGTGCTGTCGTTCAGTCAGGATCAGTAGCGGCAGGATGCCTCCCATCGTGTTGTTTTGCGGTTTTAAGGCTGCGGTCCCACGGCAGCCATTTTGAACAAGGCGTTAGTTCAACCAATAGATGGCGACACGCACCCGAGGGTGGCCGAAACATTGGTTCGCAGTGGGATGGCTCGAGCACCATCACGTTCCCCTCGTGGCCTTGCTCGCGCCGCTGCCAGCTGTGCCAGCTGTGCTCAGCTAGCTCAAGTAGCGTGGCCCATCAAACGGATGTACGCGAGAATGTCAGGCTGGGTATAAATTGTTCTCTGATATAGGGAGATGCGGTCGGCGGTTGTAACGGGCTTTCGCAATAAATCTTACCAAGAAGGAATCAAATGTTGATTGACGTGCCAATATTCTATCAATGAAAATTTCCTCTGCAGGAATGCACGCTCAGTACACTCAATCTTCCAAGACACCAGTGGAGGCGGACGTCAAGAAAACTGCTTCACGATTTACGGTACTTACCTTACCATTTTAATGGCGACAAAAAAAAAGGTCACGAAATATTATGTTTCACGGGGTCCGGAAGATGTTGTAAAGGTAGTTACATTATAGTTCCCAGAAAACAAACGCCGTTACAATATTTACGGAAGTACCGGCACACAATGTTGTTAGTACAGCTTAGGAGGAATATGATGAAAACCATCAGAAGAAATAGGAAGACGTTTATTTGCAATGAAGATGCTATGAATGAACGTCGTTTAGCGACGGCAAGTTATGAGCGTTTAGGAATTTATAAGTTGACGTGATTGCTAACCATGGACATGCGGACAATGAAGACCAGTTTTGTCGGGAGATGGTGTTGTGGTGATGACCTGATATCGGACGACTCATGGCAGACGAACAAGCAAGTTTCTTCTCTGCGAATGGTAAGTGTCCAGTGTCAAGCACAACACGTGGCTACCGACGTTGACGACGTTTCGAACACTTACCGCTTTCGACAAAAGTCCTGGCACCTGGGCTAACTTTGTGGAAAGACTCGAAGTCTTCCTTGAGTCCAACGCCATCATGAACAGTAACTGAAAACGATCCACTATTCAGTCGGTGGGTGGCGAAACGTATCCACATCTGCGGAGTCATGGGCGATGCGTACTCTAAGTGGCTGAAAGTTTACACGATGTCTGCCACGACGTCTAAGCACGTCATTGACGTTCTACGGTCTATTTTGCCTACTTTTGCCCTACCGAAAATACTTTTCTCTGATAACGCGCGAAATCTTGCTTCAAATAAAATAAATAATTTTTTTTTAAGAAAAAAAACAAAAAAAACGGCATCAGGCATCACATTAGTGCACCATACCATCCCGCAACTAATGGGCAAGCAGAACAGATGGTGTGCGAAACGAAAAAAATCTCTTTTGAAGCTTACGGAAGAAGTAGTTCAGTGAAGAATCGCCAGGTTCTTGTTCCGGCAGCACGCGACGGTCTCATCCTACACGGAAAAAAACCCGCCGAAGCAATATTCGGCGGAAGAATAGCCAGACCCCTCGATCTCATGATACTATGGCTTACGAACAAAGATCGAGAGATACCCACATCGGGAGTAATGGCAGTTTATTCGGTCGGACAACTCGTCTACGTGAGGAATTTCAGCGGAAGTCTGGCCTTCCATGTAAAACTTGAGTAGAAAATTCTCTATGTTGGTTGACCAGGGGCCGCTTGCTCGAAAGAGTTGAGACACAACTTGAGACAGTCTCAGCCGAGACCGAACGTGAGCCACTTGCTCGAAACGAAACTTAGTCTGGACTTGAGACTGAAACCGAGTCTCTGACTCAAGTTGCGTCTCAAGCCGGGAGACAGCCCCGTATTAAATTAGCTGGCGGCCGATTTAAGACCCAAACTGAGACCCAAACGGAGACCCAAACTGAGACAGTCTCAGAGGTTAGCCACTTGCTCGAAACGAAACTTAGTCTGGACTTGAGACCAAAACCGAGTCTCTGACTCAACTCTAGTCTCAGATCGTGAGACAGCCACGGAGAAGGCTCACTGGCGGTCTCAGAGTGAACAAAATGTCGGACGTGGCTACGACAAGTCGGGTCCAAGCCATCTTTGCCGCGTGGATGCTGTCGCGGGACCGCGTATTCCGCGACCGCTTTCACCCCTTCGACGTTTTCGACGAAGAGGGCCTCCAGCGTCGTTTTCGGTTTGGCCGCGATGGGATCATGTACATCGCCGACGTCTTGGCCAGCGACCTCATACGACCAACGAGACGCAGCCATGCAACCCCCGTCCTGATTCAAGTGCTCCTAGCGCTGAAATTCTTCGCTACCGGCACCTTCTTGATCACGGCGGGGGACTTTCTGCATCTGCATGAATCTACAGCGTCACGGTGCGTGCGACGAGTGGCCCTGGCTCTGGCAAAGCAAGCGCCGCACTTCATACGGTGAGAAAAAAAGAAGTCCTAACACTAGCGTTTCTTTTTGCCGGTGGGCCAGTCAGCTGCAACGTAATTTTGGATTTCGGGGAACAGAGACTTATTCAACTTGTTTCGTGAGAGAAAAGACTTCTTCAACTTGTTTTCGTTAAAGAAAACCTTTTTTTTTTTTTTTTTCACTAACATGCAGCGCCATTATTTAGCCCTCGATATGCGTGCTCAAAGCGATGTCTGGTTATTACTACGGTCCGTAATGGTGGGTGTGGTCCTCGGCACCCTCGGCACTATCTTTGTATTGTGGCGTGTTTCTCATTACGAAAAAACAACGTGTTTCACAACATGTTAGCGGGAGTAGCTGGTGGATACTGAAGAACGTTTCGGAAAGGAGGGTGCGTTGCAAAACAGTAGCGAATAATCCGTACTGATTCACACTCGATCGTGACAAGCTTTATGCGAACGGTCCGACTACGTCATAATCGAACATGTGCTAGATTCAACCAACGTTATAATTTAGGTTTCAACTGACAGTGTAAATCACATTTTCTACTTCAGGTGGCCAACAGCAGCGGAAGTCCCCGAACTGCAGCGGCAGCTCTACGCCGTGGACGGCTTTCCGGGCGTCGTAGGAGCCATCGACGGCACCCACGTTCGGATCCAAGGGCCACCGCTGCACGAGGAAGTGTTCGTGAACCGACACTTCTACCATTCCGTCAACGTGCAGCTGGTGGTCGACGCGCGCTCAAGGATTCTCAACGTGGTTGCCAAGTGGCCCGGAAGCGTCCACGACTCGTACGTGCTGTCGCAGAGCAGTGTCGGGGAGAACTTCGCAACGGGCGCGTACGGCGGCCTCCTCATCGGCGACAGCGGCTACCCGTGCAGGCCCTGGTTGATGGCGCCTTTTCGATCGCCGACCACGCCGGCCGAGTGTGCGTACAACCAGACGCACGCAACGACTCGGTCCGTGGTCGAAAGGTAGGCTTTAGAGCTAGCTGCTCTCAGAGAAGACTAAGGCTATACGCACGACGTCGTGCACCTCGACCAGAGAATGGTAAACGCACGACGTAAAACGGTTTGGTTCTCGTATAAAAACACCACTGTCACAACGAGATTTTCAAAGTTACCATCGTGGCATTGCAGATAGGGGCTACAGAGCCCAAGCACGCCGTTTCACTGCACAGCTAAATATAGTTCACCTAAAATAATTTGCTGGGTACACTTTCACGAGTAAAGCTATACACACTCCGGAGTGCACTTCAGACGGAAATGGCTATACGCACTCCGCTAAACTCGTATAAAACGAATGGTCACAACGAGTTTTCTTAGCGATAGCATAGCGTAGGGGTTAAGGTGTCTGCTTAATATGCAAGTGGACGCGGGTTCGATCCGCAGTAGGTCTACTTTTGTTTTTCTTTTTTTCTTGAACATTTTGTTTTGTCGAGGCATTTGGCGATATTTACGACATTTCTTTTTTGCGATGATCACTAAGAAAACCGAATGTTGTCGACGAAACTTCGCAGAACTAAATGGTATGGGACTCCCTTTCCGGAGGTGCGATCGGGGACGGCGGGGCTTGGTTTGCAGACTGTACGCCGCGAAGTGGCATCTACTGGCTATGTTTTGTAATTAGCAACCGCACACTGTCGCCGCGAAGCGGCGTGAATGCAGGCGGGGGGCTGGCTTAACACGCTCCCCAGTGATACCGCGCCGTTAGAAAAGGGTGGCCCGATCGGCATGAGCTCTCTGCGGAGTGAGTATAGCCATTTCTTCTGAAATGCACTCCGGAGTGCATATAGCTTCACTCTACTTTCACCACCAAGTTAAAATTGTTCTTTTTAGCTTTCATTCCACAATGTTACTATAATATTAGTCAGGGTGGGCCAGACTTGTAGCATTTCTTTTTAGCTCCTTCGGGGTTTCTTGTTTTAAATTTGCCGCAGGTTTTCTTGTTCCCTGCAGAACAAACATGGCATCTTTCTCACGTGCATTGGGCAGGGGTGGGAATTGAGCCACGACTTTTGAGCCCAGAATCTCTGGGTTCTGCAGCATGCGCTTTCGCTATATATTTTCAGGGCTGTGGTGCACCACCGAATCCCCCTAGGGCCAGCAGTAATTGAATGCGATCCGAATGGGATTTGACTTTGCGCCTTTGCTTGGGAATGTTCCTATTTCGGTATATTGCGTAAGCGCTATGATTTTTCAGCACCAGAAGAGTTAGCGTATCGATAACCTCAAAACTGCAGCACGGATGAACTTCATGACATTTCTTAAATTGATGCCCCATATTCATGTCGGTCGCAAGACGCATATAATTCTACGAGATTGAAACCTGTGTAATTTACCTTGCAAGTCGGTCCGGGTGCTTCAGTCAAAGCGTTCGCTTGTGTTTAGAAACGGGTGAAATGTAGGAAAATATCTCGGCTGTTGCAGTTCAGTGCCCCTAACCGCAATTCTCATACGAAGGAGTGAACTGCAGGAAGTGCATGTCTGTTAATCCAGAACTTAACAGAACTGCTTGGTGTAATAATACAGAGCCGTTAGCTCCGCCCCTTTAGATTTCTCTTCATTGCACAGAAAGTTTATCCTAAGTATAGGAAGTCTTGTCAATAAAGAGATGCAAAATGAGTGCGGTACCTGATACAAACACTGATGACAGCTCAGCCCCAGTGCTTGTTTGTGGAGAACATTCTTTTTACCCACAGCCTATAATGCGTGCTTGATGCCACGAGGGATGCACGTCTTGTTAGAAGATGTGAGTTGCTGTACATTTTGCAAGCCTAACTTGATTTTTTATTTATGTGGCACCCTCTTTCCACTGTCTGCTTAGAAAACACGGTGCAGCAAACACATTCAGGTGATGCACCTTGATTTGATGGAGTGTCCAGATTATGTTCGGCGTGCCTGGCAGTTTTATAAATGCGGATAGCTGGTGCCCGAATCAAGGGGTCCATCTATCCACTTCTTCTCCATTAAACCAGCATAAAGAGTTTTTTGAGAGGTCTGTTCACCTTCGCGGCATCACCGCACCATTCGCAAACATGAGCCTCTCCTCCCTCTTTGTCTATTTAACTGTAGTCCTCTTGGATGGAGTGCCCTCTCTGTCGAAATGAACCAGTTCTCTTTCAAGGCTAGTTCAGAACACAATCTCTCCGTGCCTCCCCCTTCCTGGCCATAACGAGTGGCATCACTTAACTGTGTTTCTTGCAGTGTGGTACAGGAGAAGGGTGGCAGTTAAGCCTGCCTTAGGTTATATAAAATGTGCCAAGGGCCCAATGAAGTTTTTCAATCGCAGGACGATCGGGCAGCTGAAGCGCCGCTTCCACTGCCTGCACGCCGAGCTGAGGATGCTGCCAGAGCGCTGCTGCACCATCGCTGTGGCGTGCTGTCTGATGCACAACATTGCACAGCACTACACGTGCAGGGAAGGTGACTGTGACCTTCCACCAGAGGTTCCCGTGCCTCCATCGCCACCCGAAGCAGACGATGGGGTTGCGCGCCGACATGCAATTGTGCACCAACACTTTCGTGGTGAGATTTAAGCCTACAAACACAAGTTTATCCCTTATAAACTCGTGTAAGAGCAGCACTTTTTGTTACAAGATATCTTTTCAAGGTATTGGCCACATGGGATTTAAAAAATATATATATTTGTGCATCCAACACTTAATGTACTTGCAATCAAAATTATTGGTCTAATACACCTCCATTTCGAACCGGGAAAGAACAGAAGCATTTTAACAGACCTGGACTGCCATACATGTGCAAGCTTGTCACAATGTCTGTGGGCCCCTTTGTTGATTAATAAAAATAACGTAAAAAAGACACAGTCCACAGCTCACATAGGAAGAAAAGAAAAAAAAAAAAGATGATTCAACTGGTCGACATACAAAACGGGCCACTCATGGTGTAAACGTGAGCAGGAAAGCGATGACAGGGTAGAGGGTGAAAATCAAAAGATATTTACTGCCTTCACCAAGATGACAAAAACAGCTCACGCAAAAAAACTAGGCGATGCGCAGCACACGGTTGTGAGCAGACAAACAGAAAACCCAACAGTAGCTGAATACATAGCCACAGCCTCAAAGCGAACGGGCGCAGTACAAGTAAAAATGAGTCTTATCTGCCGTCGACGCTGATCTAGGGGGCATGAATGCCTTTTTCATGGTTTTGGTCCAGTCAGTCGGACGATTTCATCTGGTGCACTTCCTCACCCACCTATGCCGCAACACAGGGACCAACAGAACTCGATGGGGAACAATGACTTTCCAGCGGCAGGCTCAACTCATTGCGTCTTCACGACCGCAGGACAGGAGAGCAGAGTCTCCGACTGCTCTCTGGATTCTGGCCTTTTTTCCTGCCAGTCCACTTCTATATACAAGAGCTAGGAGCATTCTGGAGACACTTGCTTTGACGAATCAGAAACAAGCTTCTTCGCTCCAATCAAAACTCAATTTTGTGGTTTTCAGAAAAACAACAAACACAACGCTACTTTCACACTTCATCCAGCTGGAACAGCGTCATTGGGCGGTGGTGTACGCGGTCAGCCAACATTCTCCGTTCAGCGCATAAAAAAGTTGCCTTTCCGCTAACGAGCTGTGCCCCTACCGTTTCCCTTTGGCTTCTCCACATGGTTGAACCGAACACAAGTCAAACGCAAACAAAACAAACCTTTGATTCTGGGTGGTACACATACACAAGGCGGCCTTAACATAAACAAGCCAGACCGCAGGAAGTTTCTCTTAGATATATTCGGCGTGGCACAACAGAACACACACACAAAAAGCAATCGGTTCTCGGTAGGATGCGTACAGTACACAGTACACAAGGCGGAGTTGAGATAAGAGAGCAAGGACGTTTAAATAGGGCAGGACCTGGCATGACGTCGTACCCAGTGACGCCGGAAAAAGAACCCAAGCCCAGACTGCCTTGCGCACCGACGCGCTCTCATCCAAACTAAATTCAACCAGGCTCCCATCGTCTGCTCTCCGCTCGGTCGTTAAGCTTGGGCTATGTCTGCTCCGTGCCTGCGGTCTACTTCGTCTGCTCGCTGTCGCGGCTGGCTTTCGATTCGATCGGCGCACCAAAAGATGTTTCGTTGCGAACGCGCATTCTCATATGGCGGAGTGAAACCAACATCTTCAGGAAGCAGGGTTTGTTTGGCTTTCTCAACCCGCGATGCCATTCTCAACGTTTTTGTGTACGACGACTGACACGCGATCGCTTGCCAAAGCCGCGCTACGACGGCTCGTTCTAGACGACGCTCCAGGCACGGTCGCGCGGTGTCGAGAGCGTGCGCTACACACCCACCTCCTACTGGTCAGGCAACTGTTGGGTACCAAATCTCGCCTGTTCGACACCGATTCAGTGGACGCTGCCATCGCTGTCTTGAAATATTGGGGCAAACAACGGCGTTGCCACGGAAATGCCATGGCGACGAGGCTTGTTTGCCCCAAAAATCAATTTGACGAGCTCCCCATTGGGTGAGAAGAGTTCATGGTCACGCCTACTTCCGTTACACTTCGCTCCATGTATGGAGAATACGGGCGCCACCTCCTGCCCCTTATAACCTCCTTGTAAGCGAGCCAGTCCCCGGTCGCTTCTTTTTGGGATTCACGGCCTGCTTTGACAGACCACTCCCACTAAAGAAATGTAGCAACAACAAAACAAAACAAAAAAATAAAAATCGAAGGGATTCGTTACACTGAATCGCAATCTTGGTTTTGAAATGTGCCTTTCTTGCAGTATCTCTTGTTCTGTGGAAGCACATTCCTGAGTGGCAGTCTTGCGTAAAGGCCCATACAGGCAATAGACCGATCTCACCAGCCAGTTTGACTACACCACCACTGCTGCAATGCATCAAGGGAACTTCAGTCTTTCTGCTTGTGTAAGCACGAGATGGTACGAGTCCTCTTGTGCATTGTCCTGGCACCGCCGTCTGCCTCCTCTGAACTAAAGTTATGGTGGCGCCACGCATGTGCCGAATTCTCAGTCAGATCAGTCTGTTGCGTTAGACTGCGTTGCGACTGCAGGTAACAAGGAAATATATACTTTGTATGCCGCGTGATAAGCAAATTAGGTGCTTCGTTTTATGTGAACTACAGACAATCCGCCGACTCATGGCTACTTTTCGATGTAATGCAGTCAAACACACTAAAACGCAACTGCGTGTATGAGCGTTTACGACGTTGCACTGCCATTTTGCAGCTGCATTTTGTACTTTCTTTCATTCTCACTCCCACTCAGCTTTGACATCAGCAAATGGTGGATGCATTTGTCGTCTTCTTGAAATGCAAAAAGAAGACAAATGTGCTGGGATTTTGGCTCAAAGTACCTCAAGGAACTTTGACAAAAGGCAGCAAGAAGGGAAAGGATTGTAACGAGTCCAAAGAGAAGAAAAGCATTGACGCTGACTGCATGCGGTGACATTGCACAAGGCTGTACAAATGCGGTGGTGTGGAAGGCAAACATTTTTCTTGAAGTGGGGCCCTTGCACGTGTTTATACAGTAATGATGTTCGCTTTTACTTGGCTGAGTGTGTAAAAGTTGCTGCATACCTTTTATGAAGCCATCATTTCTTTAGTTCTGCATGCTGCCAAACGAGATAATGCAGTGGAAGATTTGTGCATGCTAGATACTAAAGGTGGAGACATCGACGAGCACTAACCAGAAAACATATGCTTATTATATCTACAATCCCCTCCTTTAGGGCCTTCTTCTTAAGCAGCTAGTCCAAGCAGGGCAAAAACAGTCTTGCACCATTCTCTAAACAAATAGGGTCGCATTCTGCGTCTCTTTTGATGCTTTGCGCTCTGCCTGTGCCGTTCTGAGCTCTTCAAGGGCTGTATTTAGCCAAACAAGGACGCATTGCTGCTTGAGTGGCACGTTTTCTGGCTTGCGCGAGCAGGTCTTTATAATACTGCCTGTCTGCAGCCCGTGTGCCGGCTGCCGCACCTGCAGGCGGTGTGCTGGGGCTTCAGGCTGGTCGTGGACGAGGGGGTCCCGGTCGTCGTCGGCCCGGTGGTACTGGTCGCCCTTCAGCAGCAGCAGCTGCTGCCTCAGGCTCAGGTGGTCCCTCCGCCATTGGCAGAGGCCTTTCCCGGCGTGGCAGAGGCCTTTCCCGGCGTGGCAGAAGCCCTTCCCGGCGTAGCAGAGGCCCTTCCCGGCGTGGCAGAGCAGCTGCTGCACCAGACTCCAGGGACGTCTTGTCCTCTTCCAGCAACCAGTCCGAAGGCTGGTAGTCTCGTTCCCTCAAACTCCGGCACCTCGAGGAAAATGACCCCGGAGTCCACATCGACCTTGTGGCTGAAAGCCTAACTTCTGGCCCAGCCTCATCAGTTGCTAGCCGCACATTGGCTGGGGCTGTGTTGACCCTGAGGACAATCCGCAAGGTTGTGTGTCATGTCACCCCTGTACATATTTTGCAAGCACTCTTATTTATTTATTTATTTTTGTTTCAGGAAATCTTTTTGTGTGCTTGTGGATCAAGCTTGATCCCTCAGGTCTTGGCCGTTGTGGCTATTGTAAAAGTAGCTAGGCTCGAGCAGAGCCAAAATACGTTGTGCAGGTCAAGCCCAATATTAGCTGTCGTGGCTATCAGTTGTGAATGCAGCTGGCTTCAAGTGGAGCCAGTGTGCAGTGTTGATGCTGATATGTTGTGTTCTAGTAGGAATGTCACAAAGACACGTTGGTTGCGAAGGTAAGAGCGTGGCATTGCTGCATGGCCGCGTGGCTAGCTCTAATGGGGCTGGCCTTTTATTGGGAATGTATGCGACAGCATAGATGGCATTAGGAACCATACAAAACAAGTCATAACAGGTCCAAGCCACCCAATTTTCTAGTTGCTTGTCCCTGTGTTTCTTTCCAATGGTGAAAAGACTACTATGCTAAGTATCAGATGTGCTTGTGGTGATGCAAATTTAGGGGGTATGCTTGTCAGTGCTCATTGGACACCATATTCAAGCTTACGGCTCAGGATGACCTCTTATTGATATACCAAAAAAGACATTCTTCGTGTGGGCAATGTGCGTGTTGCAATTGTTGTGGAAGCTTGCCGTCGGCATTTGCTCAGCAGCAACGAGCTCAGCTATGGCCACCAGTTGTCAAGGATCTTTTTCAGTTAAGAATTAAATAGTCCGAGCAGTAAATGTCGTACCGTTTAATCGGCCGTTCTTATAGTTCAAGGTATACAACAAAAAACCTCCTGCCTCCTCGTCGTCTTCCAAGTATCGCTGTCGTTTTCACTTCATCCTTCTCGATTTTCCACACCAGTAAACATTAACTGTTAAATGAGTGAGATAGGCCAATCTTATACATATTCGTGGCAGACTCTCAGCTTTGTCTTTGCGTTGATTTAACTTGGCATCTCAATAGAATGAACCCAAAGAAAAGTAGTTCGAAGTGTTGTGTTTGTGACCTTCGTATCTACCCAGATGTAGTTTTCGATACAAAACAAATTTGTGTTGCTGCTTGTCATGTTTCGGCTTCACTTTGTAAAACTTCTAGCCTGTGTATTTTGTAATGATGGTGTGGTGGAAACACAATCACCTTTGTATCGTTAGCATTGCATAACTCTTGGAAAATGTACCCTCTAGCATTTCAACAGTGTAGCAGACTAAGTCTGCTATCCATAAGTGCAGTGGCCTTTCACTGGAATGCCGACCTTGAATTTTAACTTGAGTAACATGGCTCTAAGTTTTAGTGTTCTTGGATGTGCATGGATTCTTCTTGCTCTGGATGGAACATGCCGGAATGTTTCCTCCATTGGGCTTAGTATTTAGTACTGCATACCCAAGATATGATTATAAATACAATGTTAGCTTTGCTAGTAGAACTGCTATTTGTGTAAACCTGAAGGCTCTAGACTTGCCTGCATCAAATGGCACATCATGAATTCAAGTGTAACCGTAGAAACAGCAGTAACATGACAGCTCGCTAATTGGTGTCGCTGCCCCCTTCTATGCCAGCAAAGGTTTGGGCTTGTACTGACGACTGCCAGCGCAGCTTCAGCCAGTGGTGCGAGTTGGTGGTTGTTGCGCCCTGTGCCTGTGGAAGACAAGGCTCTTTTTATATTTTGTTGATGCATTGGATCTCGGCTGATTGCGGCAAGCGCAATCATTGTTTTAACTTGATTGTATTAAATGGTTGAAATACACAACTCTTGACTGCTTCTATAATTTATTTTGGGGAATGAGAAGTGAATAAAATTTCCTTCAGCACAGAATTTTGCTTGATTGTGGTAAAATCCAGAACTCTTCATTACTTATATAATTTAGCCGGGAAAATAAGAGGCAAACAAAATTCCTTCAGCACAAAGAATGTTTCATTTTTATGTGCAGTAAGACGTATAACTCGCTGGTCGTGGAGTGTGCCTTCGTAGAAACTGTCAACTCTGCAGCTGCAAAATGCATGTTTTGGGCATGTAGTGCCCACTTCTTTCGTCGTTAAATAAAAACGTTTCAAAGGAAGCATTATGCAAAGCGTCAATGGATGCCGCGAGTTTTCTCCTGACATTCTTTCTTAGCAACTTATGTAATCTTGTAAAATATCTCTCGAATTACGCGTTTTCGTTTCTCCATTTCCTTCACCCATTGAAACTTTTCATCTACGTACCAAATTACTTTCTTCTTTACCTTGGAAGGGATTCGTGATGGACCGGCGACGTACAGAGCTATTCCTTTTTCTTAAAAAAATGGGGCACCTTAGCTCGAGCAAACATTTTGTAGACACCTTTATTCGGCGTATGCGCTGGATGGTGGTGACAGACGACACGTTCAGAACCGCGGCTCGCTGTCGCTTTTCACATGTAAGCGAGGTTTGCACGAAATACATGACGCAGTTAAGGCTGAACCGCATGTAAGCGATGCGTCGCTCGATTTTTGGATTTCTAGAGAGGCCACGTCGCTCATCACCTTCGTCGCTTGCCCCCGCCGCTTTGATGCGGTTTGCCTTGTCGCGAGAGTGACCGAGCAACAGCAAAAGGGGTTGCCGTCGTTTGTCTCGTCACTCGCCAAATGGCTTACATCGCTTAAACGAGTGTCGTCGTTCGTCGCTGCCCAAAACGATCGCGGCGTACCTGAAGCAGACGACCCCGTGTCGCCATCCACGTCTGTATTCTTCGTTTTCCCCTGTTTTCCCCAGATTCCCTCTCGAGGTACTGCTCACTCCGTTGTAGGTACCGAACTCAAGTTCTGACTTGGCTGAGACGGTTCCGATTTCGTTTCGAGCAAGCGGCTCAACCGGCGTCTTACGCTGGGTCTCAGCTGAGACCCAAGATGAGACCACACGAGAAAACAAAATGTCGGACGTGGCTACCACCAGCCACTACGCACCGGCTACAAGTCATTTTGACCGGGTGAATGCTTTTGTTAAAGCGAGTTTAGACTACTTCTACGCCATCGACGTCTTCGACAGGAAAGTGAGGAAAGCCTGCCACGACTGTTTCGTTTTCGGTTTGGTGGTTTCGCAATCGCTTGTTTTCCTGTGAGCTTGACTGGTCACCCACGTCCTGGTGCAAGTGCTCAGGTAAGAAATAATATCAATAACACCACTGTTTAGTTGTGCTGTTTCGTAAAGGCAAATGTGAATAAGTTTGGCATAATTATAACTTATTTTTGCGGTTCAGTTCCTGACACAAATGCAGCGCCATCCATTCAAGAAGGAACGGAAAGCAAGACGTAGTACGTAGTCTTATTGTTCAGACGATTTTCAACCCGAGGAACACGGAGTTTGCCGAGGTACAGTTCCGAGGCAATCCTTTCTTTGTAAAATGATGTGTTTCGTGTTTAAAAACAGTCGGAAAAGCAAACAGTTTCTCAAAATGTCAGCGTCAACTCCCGACGGACGTCATGTTCCAAAACATTTTGGAAGATAGCGAGTAGCTTGATACGTTATAGCAGTGTTTATGAACCTTCGCTAGGAATTGTTATGGCGTGGCTATATATATTTGAATCGAAACTGCGCTAGAATTTTTATTGTCTGTCATGAACGAATCTCAGACATATTTCTCCACTTCAGGTGGTCACCAGCAGCGAAGCTCCTCGGAACCAACGCCGGACAAGTAGGTAGTCCTCTTGGTGGTCGGCATATGCTCACAGATCGTGAGGTGGTCGCCAAGTGGCAAGGAAGCACCCATGACCTCCACATGCTATCGCAGAGCTGTATCAGAGACAACTTCGGAGGAGGAACTTCAAACGGGCTCGTCATCGTGGATGGCGATCGGCTACGATGGCCGTGATTGATCGTGCCCTACCGCTGGGTAGACACGCCAGCGGAGTGCGCATACAACCAGGTGCACAGAAAACTGGAAAAAAGAAAGTAAGGGTTAGAGGTAAGGGTTGTTTTTGAATTAGTTAGGTACAAGTACTAATCATGCTGTCTACGAATATCTCGGGGCCAAATTTTTTTAAACGGTCTGATCATACTGTGCCTGAAATAATGAGGCCATAACTAACAAACTTTTTTCAGTACACTTCAAGTATAGTCACTGCTAGATCCTGGCCGGTAGATGACGACAAGATACAATTAACTATTTATTAACTCAAGATACAAAGGCTACATGACAACGTGACAGGTTTGTTGGCTGGTGTAGGCCGTTGACTGCATGCTTTGCAATGTTCGCGCGGTGTGGCATGGTCTTCTAGGTTTGGCATCTGTTTCCAGATGGTACCACCACTCAATACACAACACTCCTTCCCCCTAAGTGAACTCTTTCTCGAAGAGCTCGAGCCCCGTCTGATCTCTTCTGCCTGGCCACATCCACATCTTGCACTGGGCCCATCACCAACGTTTGCACTGCGCTGCCTGTATCCGGGTGCCCGGGTGGTTCAGGACGAGCAGCTTGCCAATCTCCATGGCTGATGCTGCCTGTTGCAACTCTCAATGCACCGCTCCTACACACCGTGTTGACAGAACGTCGCATGATAATGCCCTCCTGGGTGCGGGTTTTGTAGGAAACTGGAGCCGTCATTTCAACCACTGTCGCCAGTATCCATGAAGGGCCACTGCTGTAGCTGCATATGAATACTGGGTCTTCTGTTCGAAACATTCGTGACTTCGGTTGGGCTCCTTCGCTGGAATTTTCATCAGCTCCCTTCCTCATGCTCTCAGTCAGGTCTGGGTGCAGTCGGTCAAGTATTGTCTTCGACCTCCTGTTCATCAGCATATCCACTGGTCTCTTGCCTGTCATCATGCATGGTGTTACATGCTCCTGTAGCAGAAAACTGGTCAGATGCTGCCCTCATGTTCCCTTTTACAATATGCTGTAGCGAATCTTTCGTTGTGTGCACCATGCGCTCTGCTTGTCCGTTAGTTGACGGGTGGAAGGGTGCTGACGTGATGTGTCTGATGAGACCGGCTTTCAAGAATGTGCGGAATTCTTCGGAGGTGAACTGAGCCCTGTCATCCGAGACCACGGTGCTGGAGTTGCATTTCATGCGTCTACTGAGGCACGAGGAGGTGCAGGTCGTGACTCTTGGCATGCCATGCACTTGATCACATGCTCTTCTATGCTTCTGTCCATCTTGGGCCACCACACATAGCTGCGAGCCAGAGCCTTCATTTGGTCGATGCCAGGATGTCCGACATGGAGGGCCTCCAGCAACACCTTCCTGCCTTCTGGAGGAATTACGACCCTGTTCCCCCAAAGTATACATCCTTTGTGAACCGGCATCTCATGTTGTCGAATCTTGAATGGCTGGAAATTTGCCTCAAGGCCGCCTGGCAGCTAACCCTTCAGAGCCCAGTTGAGAACCCTTCAAACGGTGTTCTTTGCTGTCATTTGTGCGCCGTCCTTGGCGTGGAGCGGTGGATTGGATGTGTTCTCCAGAAACAAAACTTCTAGAGGAGGTGGCACCACAAACTCTGGAATGGTAAGTGAGAGGAAACTAAATGCATCGGCATGTTGTATGTCCTTCCGAGGTCAATGATCCAAACTGTAGTTATAAGCATTCTGTAGGATCGTCCAACGCAACATTCGTGGAGACAAGATGTATGGCATTTGCTTTGCAGGTGTGAACAGTCCCAAAGGTGGTTTGTGGTGTTATGATCTCGAAGGCAATACGTGTAGTCATGGAACTTCTTTACGCTTGCCAGCACTGCAAAGGCTTCTTTGTTGATTTGAACATAGTTTGGCTTGGTAGATGTCAATGTGCGGGAGTAAAATGCGACGGGGACCTCTTTGTCATCTTCCGGTCGACGGCCAAGTACAGCTTTAATGTATGTCTTATGGCGAGGCATCACAAGTGTGCACAAAGGGCTTTGTTTCATCATAATGGTGCAGCACACTTGCTGAGGACAGCAGCTGCTTGCGTTCGTTGAAAACTTGTTCATGAAGAGGCGTCCACTCCCACCGTGCCTCTTTGTCAAGTAGCTGACGTAGTGGCTCGGCCACTGCTGCCTTTTTCGTAGAAAGATGCAATAGAAGTTTAGCAGTCTTAGGAAAGCCTGTAGCCCCTGTTTGCTTGTTGGTACTGGTGCCTCCTGAATCGCCTTCACCTTTTCTTTTGTTGGGTGCACACCCGTCTCGTCAATAAGAAATCCCAGGAACTCGAGCTGCGACACTTCAAAATGGCACTTTTCACTTCTTACCCTGAGTCCAGCATCAGCAAGACGGTGCAGGACTTCCTCGAGGTGGCCTGCCAACTCTTCTTTGGTGCTTGCAGCAATTAGAACGTTATCGAATTATGACACAACTTCGGTGATCCCCTTCAGGAGGTCATCCATGAAGCTCTGAAAAATCCCAAGAGCAACATTTACTCCAAACCGTAGCCACTTCACTCGAAATGCTCCTCGATGGGTTGTGATCGTTTGTGCCTCCGCCGCTTCTTCATCAACCACCAGCTGCTGGTAAGCTTCTGCCAAATCCAGTTTTTCAAACAGCCTCCCCCCCCCGAGAGTGATGTCAGGAGGTGCTGTACCATGGGGATCAGGTACGGGTGTTGAGCCAGTGCCTTGTTGAAAGTGCACTTGTAGGCGCCGCATATTCTAATGTTTCCAGTTGCCTTCATGGGCGTCACAATCGGGGTCTCCCACTTTGGTTGCATGACCGGCTCGAAAATGCCTTGTTCAATAAAGCAATCAAGTTCAGCGTCAATTTTAAGCGTGAGCGCATTTGCTAGGGTTTCATGCGGATTGGCATCATTGTAAAGTCAAGGTGCTGCGATACTGGGGGTCCCTCAAACTTCTCAATCTTTTACCCAAAAACGCCATCATACTTTGCAAGCACACCTTCAATAGACAGCCCTGTGACCTTATTTACCCCTAGCAGCCTGATTCCCAATGGTTTAAACCAGTCCATGCCAAGGAGGGTTGTCCACTGTCCCTGTGTTACTGGCAGTTTCTGGTCTCCTTCGAAACTGCTGTGCTTGACATGGACCTTATACACCCCCTTGATCTGCACCGTATTGCAATGGAAATCTGACTTGCGATTGAAATGGCTCACCCGGTGCAGCATCTTCTTCATGACCTCATTTCTTTGTTCTGAAATGATCGATAACTCTGACCCCTAGTCAACTTCCATCATTGCCGACGTCCGGTGCTTATGTGTCTGCGATGCCTGTGGCGGGGCCAGTTGGTTAGTATCGTACACATCATCAGATTGTGTGTTCAAGTTCAGAACGTTCACCATGGTTTTGGATCCTCTTGTTCCCATGGCCCGCTCTGCGCTCAATGTTTCATGCGACACACACAGTCGATGCGGCCGATTTTTCTGCATAAGTGACTCTGGGCACCCTTAAATTGACAATACTCCCGTGCGTGAGCTCCTCTGCACCCATTGCAAGGCTTTGTTTTCCCGTGGTATACTGTTTCCTTGTCGGTTGCCTAAGCGTGTTTTCTCCTTCCTCTTAGTCCTGATGTATGGCAACGTTGGTTGCCACAGTTGGTTCTCCTCCCCTCACATCGTGGTGCTTTGAGCCGCCGCTTCAGCTGCCAGCACTTCTTCCTGAGCGATCTTGAACGAGAGTTTTTTTTTGCGAAAAGTCGAGCTTCAAGAGTTTCATCCCTCAGGTCACACACGAGTAGATCTCACAGTGTTTCCGTGAGATTCGGAAAGTTGCAGTTTTGTGACAACTGCCGTAGTTCCACGATGAATAAGGCCACAGACTTCTCGGGACCCTGATTCCGCCGGTAAAGGCATTCTGGCGTACAATCTCCGACGGTTGGCTGAAGGTCTTCGTTTTGGGAGTTGCCAACGCGAGTATACTATAGTGACTGTACTAAGTCAAAAGTGGCAGCACCGCAAACGCTAAAAAAAAAAACAGCACGTTTTCTGGTTGGGTTGGTGATATCGTTTGCCTCGAGGTGGAAGTTCAATCTTGCCTCGTAGGCGTCCCACTTCTCCGGAAACGCAGGGTTGAATTCTCCTATCTGTCCCAGGGTCGCCATTTCTTGTCGAGGGTACAAGGGGGGTACCCGAACAAAGGGCGATGTTCACAAACCTTCTGCCTCACCTGTACGTTCTGATGTGGGGCCGTAGAGTGCGGCAGTCTCTATGCAATCTTATCCTCATCACCACATGATAGATCCTGGCCAGTAGATGATGACCGGATAACATGAACTATTTATTGACTCAAGATACAAAGGCTACGTAATGAAGACATGATAGGTTCACTGGCTGGCGTTGGCCGTTGACTGCGTGCGTTGCATTTTTTCCGCAATGTGGCGTAATCTTCTAGGATTGCGGCCCGTGTCCCCGATGGTGCCACCACTCTACACACAACAGTCACCATGAACAGTCTGTTGAAACTGTGGCTATTGCCAGAAACTTTCGAATAGGACACTGAAGTAAAAGTTTTTGTCAGAAAAAATGGGTGATTACAAGCACAGAGACATCAGGACCATTCAGCAGATGGGGAGGGCGACAGTGGTGGGGGGCAAGGGCAAGTTTGCACTCCTCCCCCATATCTTTTCCATTAAATTTCTGACCTGTCGGGGGGGCAGTCTCTCCCCCGCCCCCCTATTTCGTTTCGACGCCACTGTACAAGCAGAATGTGATTACAACCATCATGTCTAGTCGACTGTATACTGGTGGTTAAGGCGACGGCCATTTGCAGCGAGAGCTATGGTAAAATGCGCCTGATTCAGCTGTAGCACTTGCTATGTAATGCGGCGATAGTTTCATTGAGTCGCCCCGCAACAGAGTAACCGTCAAAGAAAAGAAAGTCCGAGTGGCAGAGGAGGGCTGCGGCTGCACAGTTGGCAGGACTCTTCGTGGCGGTGCATTGACAACACTTTTTAACAGTTATGTTCACACACTCTTTGCATCAGCCTTGCCTGTTCGTGATAACGATGCCCTTTGCCTTTATCTTCATGATGTAGTTTCCATGTTTTGAGCGCACCTTCGGGGCCTCCTCGCCGAGTACGGGAAGCATGCCTCGCCGCGAGCTCGGCCAGGCAGGGGTCAGTCGGCAGTGGCCCCCAAATGCATGCTCGCTGAAACGCTGCCACCGAAACATCGGCCTTTGCGGTCCATGACATATGGATCCTTGCATTGTTTATCAATACTTCACTAACTCGTAACTTTACTATGAGTGGCGTCTAGAGCCGCTGGTCAAATAATTGCAGGATTCCAGTTATGCCTTGAACCGCATATTTAAATTTGTTCTTCCGACACAATAGCCTTTCGCATCAAAACTTTGTCGGTGGCATATTGGAACTTTCTGCTCGTAGCACACTTTACCAACGCCGAAATATCCCGTACAGGCTGGTTGAATGTCGTCATCGTAAGTTTGGCACAGTTTTTCAAGTTCGCATGCCAAAAACCAGGTAGTTTTGTAGAAAATATGGTGCACATCAGTGCATGTCCGGGCAATTTGTGGCATCCTATGCCTTGGTAAGTGCTTCCATGTGGTGGGAAGTCAATCACCAGCATGGTGCGGGGCCCCCGTTTGTTTGCCGTCTGATAAGCAAGTTAGTTGCTTTGTTTTATATGAACCACAGGCAGCCCAAGGAGTTGTGGCTACTTTTCGATACAGTGCAGTCAAACGCACTGAAACGAAACTGTGTGTATGGGCCTTTACGCCGCTGCGCTTCCATTTTGGACCTGCAGTTTTTACTTTCTTTCGTTGTCGCTCCCACTCTGCTTTGACGTCCGTGGATCATAGATGAAGGTTGCTCAAACATAAAAAGGGAGATGAATAGTTAGGTGTTTTGGCTGAATATGCCTTAAGCAACTTCGACAAAGGCAGCAAGAAGGGAGATGATTGTAAGGATTGCAAAGGAAAAAAAAGCTTTGATGCTGACTGCATGCCACGTCGGCGGTGACATCGCTCAGGCCTGTACAAATGCAATGGTGCGCAAGGCAAACATTTTTTTTTGCGGGTGCGGTCTTTACGCGTGTTTATTACACTGATGACTTTCACTTTTACTTAGCTGAGTGTGTAAAAGTCGTTGCATTTTTTTATGGTGCATCATTTCTTTAGTTTTTCAGGTTGCTAAATGAAATACATAATGCAGTGGAATTTTTTTGCATACTTGGAACCAAAAAGACATTGAAGAGAACTAACCAAAAAAGAACTGTTTATTGTATTTACATAGTAAAGCTAAAACGGCAGTGCCTCTTTGCCAAACTGAAGGCCCCTCCTCCCCTTTAAGGGTCTTGTTGTAGGGCCTTCCCAAGTAACATGAAAATTTTTTCTCCCTGTTCAATATAAAAGTTTGCAGCCTTTTTCATCATTTCGGCAGCCTCGCAGGCTGCCCTTGCTGCCCTTGCCTGCTCTTCCGTCGCCTTCAGTTTGGCAAGGAGGCACTGCCGTTCTAACTTTACGTTCTCGTGTTGTTGTTCCATGATGTCCCTATAAAACTGTTTGTCTGCAGCCCGTGTGCTGGCTGCCGAGCCTGCGGGTGGTGCGCTGGGCCTCCAGACCGGTCGTGAACGAGGGGGTCCCTGCCGGCCCAGTGGTGCCGGTCGCCCTTCAGCAGCAGCTGCTGCCTCAGGCGGTCCCCCTGCCACAGGAGGAGGCCCCTCCCGACGTAGCAGCGCAGCTGCTGCACCGGGCTCCACGGGTGGCTCATCCTCGTCCATCGGCCAGTCCGGAGGCTCGTAGTCCTGCGTTTCTTCGGACTCCGGCACCTCGAGGAATGCGACCCCGGGGTCCACTTCAACTTCGTAGTTCAGGACTCTGTCCTCTCCAACCTCCTCATCAGTAATTGGCTGCACGCTGACTGGTGCTGTGCTGGCCCTAAGGAAAATACACCAGAATGTCAGTCTTGTCACCCTTGTACATAATTTGAAACACTCTTATTTGTATTTCATTCATGCTTTTTGTGTGCATGTGGATCAAGCTCGACTCCTCAGCTCTCGGCCATTGCTGCTATTAGTTGTGAAAGTATGTGGGCTTTAGTAAAGCCAGCCTACAGTGTGCAGGTCAAGCCCGATCTTGACTGTTGCGGCTATTAGTTGTGAAAACAGCTGGCTTCATGGAGATCCAGTGTGCAGTGTTGATGCCGGCCAGATATTTCTGGTTGCTTGTCCCTACAATTCCGTTTTATGTCAAAGACTACCATGTTGAGCAACAGATCTGCTCAGGGTGATTCCAAATTTAGTGGTAGTGTCTACTGGTCGGTGCTTAATAAATTGTACTCACTGTACACCATATTTGAACTGACTGCTCAGGATTACTTCTGATTTCTTTTATTTATCAATACTGTTCACCCTTTCAAGGTGGTTTTATTTCAGAAAAGACGTTCCTCATGGTATGCAATGTGCATGTTGGAAGTGTTGCAAGAGCTTGACGTCAGCATATGCTCAGCAGCAGCGAACTCAGCTGTGACAGTGAATGCTACCTACGAAATGAGCAAGATTTCAGAGCACTAATCTCGCACAAACATGTTTATGCAACAGACTGTCTCAGCTTTGTGCCTTCATTCATTTGACTTGCCATCTCAATACAACGGACCTGAAGCAAATGAGGTCCAAGCTTTGTGTTTGTGACCTTTGGGTCTACGTAGCAGTAGAATTTTCAACATAAAACAATATATATTTTTGCTGTTTGTCATAGTTCAGCTTGACTTCATAAAAGTGTAGCCTGTATACGGTAGTCTTGCGATAATTCAAACTCGGATATTATACTTCTGGTTAATTCAAACAAATTTCCTAAGTTTGGTTGTCTCGCTATGTTCTTAGTGTATCCATATGCCACTTAAACCGAATTCCGTTTTCCTGTAATTCATATTTTTTGTTCTTGCAGCCCTTTTGTTGAGTGTGCTTCTTTCCGAGCACCGGTACACTGCAGAGGGAACACCCATGGAGCTGTTGCTTCTTTGCAATGCACCGGTGCTCGGTGATAAGCGCACTCAACGGGGCTCATGCGGAAATTTCTGCAGCAACTTGCGCAGACGCTGTGATCTGGTAGCATGGCGTACACCGAGCGCCGGCACATTGCGGAGAAGCAACAGATCCATGGGTGTTCCCTCTGCAGTGCACCGATGCTCGGAAAGATGTGTACTAAACGAAAGGGCTGCAAGAACAAAAAATATGAATTACAGGACAACGGCATTGAATTTAAGTGGCATAGCATGGGCAAGTCACAACGTCCTCACAAGTTGCTATGAAAACTGTGGTGCAGTGCCCGCTTTTATTGTTCACGTGTCCCCCGTTTAATAGTTCACACTAGACAACTTCTTGACCCGATGAACAAACTGAATTTCGTTTTGAGTTGTCATGTGCTCTTTGAACAGCCCACAACAATGAACATTTTTGAGGGATAAATAAACTTTTGTCTTACATTTCACGAATGTTTCATGTGTAGCATACCTGGTTATGATCAGTAGGCCTATGTAAAGGAAAGCATGAAATATCTTCTGTGTATGTGAAGCCACTCATAAGGCAAATCATATATTTATCTTGCATCATTATTTAGATAAATTTCTGATAAATCAAACAAAATTCATGGCTTCCTGGAGTTTGAAATCATGAGAGTATAATGTATTTTGTAATGGTAGTGTAGTAGAAACACAATCCCCTTTGTCTTGTTCGGATTGCATGATACCTTTTTAAGATATACCTTCTACCATTTCAGCAGTGTACCAGCCTAAGTCTGCTATTATTTTTCTTTCCCAAACTTTCAAGACTCGGCCAACGGCGCTTGCGATGTTCAGAAGACTGCGTCGTCCTCCCCAGGTACATGTCGGCTCATAATCACCATCATTTTAATCTTGCATCTCACAAGATTAGGTCGTGATCTTACATCATCACATAATCACCATCAGAAGATGTGGCATTGCGGGCGTACTTTGCACGGGCTGCTGCCTTTCTGTAGTGCCGTGGCTCTCCTAATCCAATAATTACTATTATTATTGTTTATATTATTTTTATGATCATCATTGATGAGCGCAGTGGTCTTTCATTGACATGCCTAGCTCGACTTTAACTTCAGGTAACATGGCTCGAAGTTTTAGAGTTCTTGGATGTGCACGGTTCTTTCTTGCTCTGGAGAGAACACACCAGAACATTTCTTTGAGTGGCCCAGTATTTAGTACTTGCGAACTTCAGATATGATTATGAATACAATATTAGCTTTGCTACTAGAACCCCCAATCGTGTGAATCTCGAAAGGCTAGACTTCGTACAAATAGCAGTAACATGACAGCTCACTCGTCGGTGTCTACGCCTCCTTCGATACCCAGAAGGTTTGGGCTTGTGGAACCGATGACCGCCAGCACAGCCTCAGCCAGCGGTGTCAGCGTGTGGTCGTTGCGCACTGCGCCTGTGGAAGACAAGGTTCTCTCTATATTTTGTTTGAGCATTAAATTTTATCTGATTGCAGCAAGCACATTCATTGTTTTGATTTTATTGTATTAATAGCTTGATATCTTAATTTCTTCTATAATTTAGCCAAGAAAATGAGAAAGTGGATAAAAAACTTCTTTAGCCAACAGAATGTGTGCTTCATTTTTATGTGTAGTAAAAACATATGTATAGTAAACTCACCGGTCGTGGAGTGTGCTTTCTTCGAGAGGGTCAGTTCCGCGCGGCTGCGAGATTTGAGGTTCTGCCACTGCTTTTTGAGTTGCGGCACAGTGCGCAGCGTCGATGGATGCCGCGAATTCATCACGGATGCGATCTCCTGCCACGCTTTTCTTTTAGCAGCTTTTGTAATATTGTTGTTAAATTTGTTCTTAATTATACGTTTTCGTTTCTCGATTTCGTAAACCAATTGAAACTTATCATCTTCGGACCAATTTGATTTCTTTACCTTGGGAGGCATCCGTGATGGACCGGCAACATCCATGTCTGCGTGCAGCAAACTCAGACGGTCGTCTGCTAACTTAATGATCGAAACATAATTATCAACTTTTATTGCAAATGCTTCCGAGAAAATACGTCCAGCGCATTTTTTTTTCTTAAAAAATTGGGCGTTAAGGACACGCAGGCATTTATGTAAACAACTTTATTCGGCGTACGCACTGGACGTCGACGACGGTGGTGACAGACGATCGCGATACGAAGCAATATGACAGCGTTGGTGCGCACTAAACTCTACCCAAAACCGCGCATCGCTGACTCTTTTTTTTTTTTTCTTTCTTCTATTTTGCACGGAACCACGGTATGTACGAGACATGTGCCGCAGTTTTGCGACTGTCGTCGTTTCTCTTTGCCCAAACCGATCGCAGCGTAGCAGAAGCAGACGATCTCTCGCTTGCCGCCTCGCGTCGCCGGCGCTTTCTTATTGGACAGGAGGTCACAACTCGTCACTTCCACGTCCGGAATCTTCGGCCGTGTTCCAAAATTTACTCGGTCTCACTCTAGGGTAAAGGTTTTGTACCTTTGCGATCGAAAACCTACCCGAATCCGGCATTACTCGATTTTTGTTGTCACGTGACATGATCTGCCAGGGTAACTCGGATCCACTCGAGTAGATTTGGAACGCACCCTCTGTTTTCTCCGGTATTTCTTCAGTTTTCCCTAGATTCCCTCTCTAGGTACTGCTCACTCCGTTCTTGGCGGTCTGGGTGCCAGACTCAAGTCCGGACTTGAGTCAAGACCGCGCCGGAGACCGTGCTGGATCCGTCTTGGTCTCAGTCACGGTCTCAGCCGAGACCGCCAGGCGCCTGAGTCAAGACTTGAGCCAAGACTTGAGTCAAGACTTTCTAGCAAGCGGCCCCAGGAGGTGTCATCTCTCTGAATAGGTTGGATATCAATGCCCTTAAGTGTAAATATAACTAAATCACAAAACTTTCTTTGTGTATTGTGTAACTGCCCTTGTATTTGATAGTAGAAGCTATGGTGGTGATCTGGACCTTTCACACCAGACTCCTTTTTCTTATTTTTCGCCTCATACTCCTTTGCGGTTTAAGTATGCTTCAAGAATCTTTTGAAACGGGGACACTTTACGCCAACGAGGCCATTTGTTCCAAGTAGTCAATCAGGGAATGCTGCTAGAAATCCGTCCCTCATATTAACGAATAAACCGCACTTCTGCACAGTGCAGTTTTCCTGTTCCACGTACAGTTGTAAAGCAACATCCTCATTGATTCTACCATTTACTGTTGCGGGTGAAGAAAGCCTTTGGGTACACGATCCTTGAAACAAGTCTGGCACTGTACGTTGTGGTTTAACACCCACTAATGTCGTCGTCCTTATAGAGCCTCATCATTTAATCATTACCTCGTCACCTCATATTGCTCTTCATCAACAGTAAGTACAATAGGCTACCGCCACATTACAATCCAAGAATTGAAAAATTAAGTCGTTCAGTCCTTCAACAAGTTTATAATTTATATAATGTTATTACGTTACATTACCTCAAGACGATCGACGTCCATCGTCGATCTTCAAATACTTATACCTGTATATAAATTAGACGAACAAGGGGGGGGGGGGGGGGGGGGAGTTGGTGGCCGAGTGCATGGTCTAGCGCACACCAGCTCGGAGCACTGGGAGCGAAAGCTCGGGCTGGAGAACCCACCCCGCCCCTGCCCGTTTCGATCTGGAAGAGCATCGTACCGGCGTGCGGTCGTGCATCGCTACTGCGTGGTGCACGTTAAAGACCCCAGGTTTTCGGTTGTACCGCACTGGCTAAATTGCTCATCTACAGCTGAGACACCAGACGCCCACTAAGGCAGACTAACTTCCGGCTGAATAAACATACACACAACAATTTGCAATTAGACGCATAATAACAAAGAACACAGCGTGCCGCCTCTTTTCTTTGGATGCCTTTTTTATTTTTAAACCAGCGCAAGCTCGTGCGTTCTCTCTTTTGAGACGGTTAGAACGGTCGCGTATAAAACCCGCGTTTCTCCTACCCGCCCGCTTCCTCCTCTCATTATGTGTATTTGGTTATAACTAAATAAGCCATAATAATGGTGTATTATTCATATTTACTTTCAGTTTAGGTCAGGGAAAAGGAGTTTCGCGGGAACTAGAGCCAATAAATGAGCTGCGCTTAGAGTATCGGCACTCTCTTTCCCGACAGTGTTGTGAACGCCGCCATTTTGTTGCTTGTGCAGAGCAGGCGCAACTGCCGATCGTCATGATACAAAAGTGCGACATCCTCAGCATTAGAATCGGTGTTAGGAAGCTCATGTAATGTTGCTTTGCTTTGTCGCAAACTGTTTAAAGTGGGGGCCGGAAAAGCGTTTGTCGTGATTTCAGATAAAGCTTCAAATAACTGGCAACCATAATTTTAAGCCATACTAAGGCCAAGCGTCGCTACTTAGAAGCGTAGCTTATTTAATAACACTATTCATGCCCTTGTTCAAGAGGCTTGTAATACCTAGGGTGCCTCAATGTCCTTCTGTTTAGGGTGATGCCACCCTTTGTAGTACCCGATGCCGACAGCACGCGCTCACGCGGAAAATACAAAAGAAATCGACGAAAACAAAATGTCGCCATAGCACAATCAGCGCCACGAGCGCGTGCAGGGACACGCTCTTTCACGCGCTTCTGAACAAAAAATAAAAATAAACTGGGGGACAAAGTGGCCAGATGTCGTGCTCCACCCTAAGCAAAGGGCACATGAAGGCACCCAGTAATACCTGGAGGGGCCATGACGTAAGCCCCGTGGATTCCACAAGCCACTACCTTTTGACACCTGCCTCTTCTTCATTGTTCCCGCTCGTGCCAGTAAATTAGCTACGGTTCAGGGTAACGACACTTGGCCATATTGTGGCTTAAAATCATGGTTGCCAGTTATATGAAGCTTTATCTAAAATCACAGGAAACGCTTTTCCGTCCCTAACAAATGTTTAAACAACCCGCGACAGAGCATTGCAATATTGCATCAGCTTCCTAGCACCGCATCTAATGCTGAGGAAGTCGTACTTTTGAATCACGATGATCGGCAGTTGCATTTGCTCTGAGCAAGACCCAAAATGGCGGCGCCCAAGACAATTTTGGGGAACGGAGTGCCGATACTTTAAAGCTCATTTAGTGACTCTAGGCATAAAGTGAACTCGGGTGTATTCTTTTCCTCTTCGTCTTCATTGTTTATTGATTTCAATCATATCGAATAATGAACACATTATATCACGCTACGCTTGTGTAATTATTTGTCTTAGATTTATTAGCCTGACCCAGTACTTAAACCATTCAGTTATCGATAGTAAATCTTCCAATATATTTTTTAAATGTGAGGGTAAAAAGACACGGAGATTGATGATGATACAGACGCCAACGCCGCCCTCGGAAAGTTTTTGAACATTAGAAATCAGCAGTTTGTCTGCCATCCGCCAGGTAGCGCAACAAAACACCCACACAGTTTTAATTGTTTTTAATATTAGCTAAGCTCTACACCTATTAAGAAACCAAAGCAATATCATTGTGAAAATTTAATACATCGCAATGTATATCTATTCCAAACAATAAATATTATTAGATGCCAATAAATCTGTTTGATGTCTAAAAAAGATATGCGTCAAAACAGGTAAGTTTGAAACGCTCCTGGAGCGTTATGACTTGGAAAATGAAAAAAAGCCATCGTCCACCTCTTGGGCAACTATTGTAGCTCTAAATGTGATAAAAGATTTTATCATAGTTTAATTATTTCCTCGGCGGCATTTGAAGTACCATGACTCGAAGCATAAAAAAGTGCTACGTTTGATATAAAATATGTAAACAAATAAATTTTACACAACATTAAATTTTGTTCTGCATATTACCGACTATAAGCACTAGATCTGTAGCTAATTTCATTGCCCTAGCGCGTGTCATTAAAAACATATTTGTGCTGAAAATTGTCAATTTTAGGCAATATTTGGAGAGATGAAAAAAACAAACTAGTGCAAATACCAAAAAAGTGTATCGTTACATTCTGTTCCGACATCATCTTAACAAAACTTCTATATTGAAGCTGTGCTATCTTGAATGGATCGTTCATAAAACTTGAACTAGTGGAGCAAGTGAGGGTTCACGCCATCATATGGTATGCAGATGACACGGTAATGATGTCCCAACATATTAATTACGTAGACTCGATTCGCCAGTTACAGCACCATGCGACTGCGGTCATGGACTGGTTTGAGAAAAACCTAATCGCTATCAATGTAAAGAAAACAAAACTAATGTGTTTCTACAATCCACATAAAACAATCAATCTCAGCATTCCTTTTATTTTACACTCATCTGCTTGTAATCAGCGCGCCTGTGTCCCCTTAGAGTACGCTAGTAGTGTTAAGTACCTTGGTATTTTTTTCGATAGTGGCCTAAAATGGCATGCCCATTTAGCATATATTTGCAAAAAATTAAGGAGCGCCAGCTGCATCTTATATAGATCCAAATGTCTCATGCCTCTTTCTGTTCGTAAGGTTATTGCTCATACTCTAGGGTACAGTATCCTTCGGTATGGCATAACAGTTTTTGGTAATTGTTCCGCTTTCTGGAGAGCTAGAATTGACAGCATCCTTCAAGCAATCCTAAAGAGTGTCTCCTATAACATGCAAATACCCGAGGACACCACTCTTTTCGACCTTCTTCAACTGCCTGACTTTCACACCCTCTATGTTCACACAGTTATTTTGAGACATTTCTGGAGCTCTGAATTTAAAACTTTAAGCTCATCATCTCGTGCCCTCCGACACGTGCAGCCTTTCCAAATACCTCTTGTGCATACCCGATATGATGAAAGTACGCGAGCATATTACGTTCCAAAGCTTTTCTCACAGCTGCCGCCCGAGCTTCTAGGCCTTACTTCGCTCCGTACACTTAAGAAATCACTTAGAAGTATGAGTTTTTGATGATCTCTGTTTTACTCTGTTTAGTGTTTTCCAGTGTGGGTTTCACTTGTTTAGC